CTAAAATACCTAGTAAATTTATTTCTGCTAGGATTTTATTTTTACAAATTCGGGTCCAAATTGTAATTTTTATTATTTTCGCTTACGTAGCAATGGGCTAGTGGGATAAATTGTAAATATGGCTTTAATATTCAGGTAAATTTTATTCGTTAAATAATTTAGTATATTAATCAATTATAGTTATACAAATTAGGACAAACGGTCTATCCTAATACAATCTAAGTTACCAATTTTTATTACGTTTTAAAATTATTATTACTTTACATTGGTTTCTTCTGTGCACATCAGCTTTAATTGAAAGGTACATTTGGTTTATACGTAGATAACGTCGGATCAGGTCTACATCAACTCTGCATAATAGTATAAAAAGTTAAGATCATTCAAATTAAATATAGATAACATTGACTTCTGTGCTTTTAAACTTTTAAAGATTAGTTTCCGAACTGCAAACTCATGTAATGTGTGATAATCTTGTCTGCGCTCTGCATTTCGTGTTCTTAAAAAGGTGATATTATTATTAATAGTTACAAATCACTGATAATTATTTGTACAATCAAAGCTTTCTTAAATGCAGAAACTTTATGATACTTAACAGGCTTGGAAAAGTACCATACGCAGTGTTACATAAAAATATCGTCACTTTCTTCTAAAATGAAAGCACTTGTATCCTTCCGAATTGCATAATTTGTATAAGATATTCTAATGAAATAGTTGTAGTAAGCCGAAGAAAAACTGAGATAAGGTTACATTTATTTCGAAACAATAAAATAGAAATGTACAAAACATAGGAGTGTAAGTAGGTAGATGCTGTACAAGTAATCGTATATTCTTATTAAATACTCAGTACAGTGGAATTTGTCAATAATTATGTTTATAAACAAGTACTAAATGGATCGAAAATAGTACCAGTGAATGATTACAATAAACGGGCCTTGTCCAGGGATGTGTTTAAATTTTCTTTTTGCATGAGCCAAGAGTGATCTACACAATTGTATAATTTAATTTCCATAATCAAACAATAGTAGTAGGGAAATAAACATGGATGGTAGACGCGGCGGAAAAGAAAAGATTAGATGCGTTCGAAATGTGGTGTTATCGGCGAATGATGAGGATACCGTGGATACATAGAGTAGGTTAGAAATAAAGAAGTATTATAGGGTTGTTCGGAAAGTCATTTCGTTTTTTTTTGTGGATATGAAAGACAGTTTTCGTATAATAAACAAATACTTTATTAAATTATATATTGACCGTTCTGGTCCAACACCTTTTGCCATCTTTCTGGTAGTAGCATAATTCCACGCTCATAAAATTTTTGGTCTTTGCTGGCAAAAAACTGATCGAGGAGGTTTTTGACCTCCTCATTTGAGGTGAAG